CCCAGGCCGTGGAGGATAGAGTTTAAATCCGCCGTCTATCTCTGGAGATGGCTGGAATGTCGGCGCCCACCTCCTCGCTGGCAGCCAGTGCTCGCGGGGGCCAGGGCAGCGGGCAGCGTGGGTCGGGGCTCCGGGTGCTGCCCTAAGTGGGATGAAAAATTAATCCCCGTTACGGTGCCGTGTTCTGAGCTCGGCTGTGCTGATCGGGATCTGTGGAGCAACAGCCCGCAGTGCCCGTGGGCGTCTGACCGGCAGCTTGAGGCCCTGGTTCGTTAGGGCAGCATTGAAAGGAAGGCTCGGTTTGTCTTAAATATAACGACCTGGATGCTGTTCTGTAGTCTAAATAGCATTTACTTCCTCACAGTCTTTTAAATCCAGTCAGTTCTGGGTTATCCACGGATAGTTTCCAAAGATGGGTGCCTGAACAGGGTTGCTAGAGCCTAATTTTTCAGAGGTTACCAATATCCATGGTTCAGCTGGGAGACCGTGGAGATGCTGAAGAGGAGCAGGACATCCTTTCCTTTACTTTCTGTATAATCTAGGCTTTATTTTAGCAAAAGGTTCAGGGGCTTCAGCTATTTGTCCCCGTACCCACATGCCAGAGCATCGGGAGGTCTGTGGGAACCAGGGGTTTTTGGAGGACGTTCCTTCTGTGACAGAAATGGAGCTGACAGGCTGCTGCGCTGCTTTGCTGCCCGAGATTTTGTGGTACATTGATTTATTGGGAAGACTTAAGGGCTTGGACTCAGGAGCCTTCTTACTTGGGTGTTAGGAGCATTTTTGGTGGGAACTCTTAAAAAAAAAAAAACCCAACATATTCTTTGCAGCTGGCCTGGGACTCAGTGAGGAGAAAGCTGTCAAGCTGAGAAATGCCTTTTCATCCTGTGAAATTCCATTTGGCTTTAGCTGGTTTATAACCCATTTAAAGAAAAAAAAGAAAGTAAAATAGAAAACCAACCCACAACATTTCCCTTTGTGCTGCTGGAGTGCCTGGGGGGCAAAAAGCCCCACCAGTTGTGTGCCATAGAAAGGAGAGTAGCCCTCCCCAGAGCTGGGCTCTGCCCAGTGCCCTTACACTGCTTGGGTCTGGGGTTAACACAGTCTGGCCAGGCAAGAGGATTTGGTTTTCTCCTTCCTCCAGCTCCAATGCAAAGAGCTCTTGGCGTATACAAGTGGTTAAAATAATGTCTTTTTCAGTTATTTGCCCATCCAGAGCAGCCCAAATGTCCAAGAAGAGAAGCTCGTTAGAAAACTCTTGGATTAAGAGAGGCTCTTTGATCAAATCCCCCTCTTCCTGACAAGGCAGAGGATGCTGTACGTGCTGTACCACTTCAGGTGGCCAGAGTCAGGGGTACCTGGGCTTTCCCCAGTGGGTCGCCCAGCCATGCAAGGGCAGGTGGTGGTCATCACCCTACTGTGCTGCTTGTCTCTTCCCCCCCACCCCGGGATCTGAATTCCCTTCCAGACCCATCCTCTCAATTTTGGGGCCTTTCTCATGGGCCAGTGAAAAATAAAAAGAGGTTAAAAAAATCTGCTTTCCTTGCATCAAAGAGTGCAAGGGTGTGAAGTTTGTTTAAGTCTGTGCCCCATGCTGGGACTGGTGACGATATTCACGGGAAAGCTCCCGGCTGGGGAGGAGAGGTGTGCTGGTGTCGCTGTGTTAAATAGCTGCTCTTTCAGGATCTGATTGAATTAGGACTTGCACGAACTCTATCAGTCTTGCCTCGCAGATAAAGGCTTGTTTATTTTTCATTGGCCCTTTGTTGAAATAAAACGGCTTCTGATAATGCCCAAGTAATTCTTTTTATCGACATTCAGGAGGCTGATACGGAAATAAAAAACAGGGAGCTCTTTCAGTGGAGATTAAGATCTCTCGGAAACGCGTCAGGCTTCTGACATGAAGTATTGTCATCATTTCTGCCGCCGTGATGTGCAGGTCTTTTGGTGCTGCTGCTCCATTCAATAGCAGCCACTCGCCCTGGAAGATGAGCTTACCGAAGGGGCAAGATTTCCTGAGATTAGAGGGAGGCATGGAGCATATTTCAGCAGACCACAATGGAGACATGCATTACAAATCGGATAAATTTTTTTTTATGGGTGTCATAGGGACAACTGCTATGGAACATTTAAAACAAAATGTAAAAATAGGAAGTAGGCTTATTCCTGTGTTGGATAAAGTGTTGCTTTTTGGGTGTGCTGTGGACTTTTGGGAGGATTGTGCCTGTCTCTAACAAAGACAAGGGAGCCCTGACTGGGGGAGCCTGTGCTGCAAGGGGGCACTGAGAGGGTGCAGAAACTGGGGACATGACCCAGGGGACAGCGAGGACCCAGTTTGTCTGTTAACGCTGCTCCTTGGAGTTCTACTCGTTACATTCCCCTGGCACATCTCAGATCTAAGGTGTGGGTTAGCAGGCTGCACATAACGCTGGGTGGCATTGTTTTGACATATTTTGGGGTTTTTGTGGCGGTGGGAGATGGGGCATTCATTAGGGGTGGTGAACTTGATGGGGAGGTGACCCGCTCCCAAAGGACCCTCCCCAGCACATGGCCTGCCCCAATGACAGCTGGCAGTTGCAGGCTCTCTGCTTGGTTCCCGTATGTTAGCACACCGTACGCATCCGCAGGCAACAGGGATGCCGCTCGGCTGCACGTTCATCCACCCTTGCCGTTCACACTAAAGCCACAAACAGAGAACCCCTGCCATCCGTGGGCACCGGCACCGGGTTTGGGGTGAAGCGGGGGCTTGCAGAGCGCGGGGGCTGATCGGTGGCTGGCGGCAGCCCAGGGCAGAGCCAACCTGGGACAGAGCCCACCCGTCACGGTGGGGGGCTGCCTGCGGATGAGACCCTGCCATGGCAACCCTGCCTGCTCCCGGAGCTGCATCCGTGGTGAAAAATCGCTAATGGGCAGGTTGCCAAATACCTGCTCATGGGGAGCGCACAGGGACGCAGCCGGTGGGATGACCTCTGGAGCCTCCTCTGCAGTGGGTCATCTGGGGCAGTTTTGAGGGAGAACGAATCGGGGGGCTGCAGGACCGGTGTGCGGGTGGCACAGCTGCAGCCGTGCAACGCTCAGGGCTGTCGCTGCACAGCTGCAATGTGCTTTTTACCGTGTTGAGCCGAACTGAATCGCTGCAGGGTGGTAGGAACAGTGCCACACCGGGGATCTGGAGAGCAGAAATGGGGGCAGCGAGGCTCCAAAGGTGGTGCTGGAATGGCATCCAAGCCCTGGCTTGCACCTCTGCAGCTTGGAGCAGGATTGCTCTTATTCTCCAGTGCCTATAAGCAGATTATTTTGGGCAGTTGCTGCTACCTTGCATCAGAGCAATTATATCATTAAACGTTTTGAGGGACATTTTTTGGTGGAGCTGTGATTCTCTCTAGTCACTCCAAGCCCTGCAGTCCCGGGGAGCTATGGGGGGAGTGGGGCTGCTCCTCCAGCCCCCGACCAAGAGCCTGGGGTTAGCAGAGATACTTTCTGTCTGTGTAAGCCAACGCTATTTCATTCTCACTCCTCTGCAAAGCCATGTCAGCGCTGTAAACACTGCAAGGCTGCAAGCCCAGCACCATTCACTGCCGTCCCGAAGCCCAAAGCTCTCAGCCTGCTGGGACCCGTGCTGGCAGCTGCCCGGGACACGGATTGCTTGTCTGGCCTCGGGGGGCAGGGAGGTGCAGGCAGGGCACAGGCAGGCACGTCACTCACGAACACGTGCGAGGGCAGTTTGGTGCCCATCGGAGAGGGGAGAGAGGAGCAGCACGGGCCTTGTGTTTTTCTAATGCTCCCAGTGCCACAGTGCATGGGATGGGGGGCCCTTTTGCAAGGCTGTGGGGTGGGATGGGCATACGGGACTTCATTGCACCTGGGTTCTGTGTTCACACACAGCAAGGAGAAGGGTTTCCAGCAGCATTTAGCCTGGGGGTGTTGTGTGCTTATTTTATGTAGCTTGAAGAAGAGCAGTCAAATTGTTCGTGGGGTGAGGAGTAGGAACACAGGATTTGGCTTGCAGAATAAAGGAGTTAGATGGTTTTGGGAGGGTTCTCTGTGTTCACCATCAGCTGGATTGAGGTTTCTGTACTGGGGATGCTCAGGTTAGAGCCCTTCCAGGTAATGTACAGGAGCAGTGGGAACAGAGGTCTTACTGGCCATCCCCAAACTGGGAAAGGTGGTGGTTGACTGGAAAGCTGCAAAGGCTCTTTAAATAAAAAAAACCCAAAACTGTGAGGGAGCAGGACAGAGATTTACAGCTGCTGCTTGTGAATTTGCCTTGCTTATGAAGTTTGCTGCCACTCTGATATGAAGAGCTAAGTAAATGCTAAATGAACTGTTATTTAAAAATACTTCCTCAATAAATGGCCTTGTAAATTAAATTTCAGAAGATGATCTTACCTTTACCCATCTTGATGATAATTTTAATTATGGTTAATAAAAATTCAATCTGCATTTCAAGTTTATTGTCTTACCCCATCATGACTTCATCCTTTAACAAGATTGGTAATGATGCAAGTGTGTGCAGGGCAACGCGCTCACCTAGAGATGTAGGCCTGGTAAGAAAGTACCCGAGGATGAGCACCGTGTTAAGGCCTTTCCTAAGTGTACTAACCTCTGTCTTAAAATCAGCTGGAACTTTTGTTGCCTTTTCTTTTCTTCTGGAAGGTTGTTTGTTGGTTTCCAACCTAAATATACCAATTGGGTATCGATCCATTGATATCGTGCCAATATCTACCTTCTTGTTCTCCCTCTCTAGTGCATGCCTGTCCTTACTGTTGACAGCATACACTCATATCCATAGCCATCCATCTCCTGGTTGGCTGGATGAGTCCTCAGGTCCTGTGAGAAAGCCTGATCATCTTCCTGTACCTGCTTCAGTGTGTGTTTCCCCTTCTTGGGCTCAGTCGTGGGTGAGGTCTCACCTGGCTTCTTGGTGTGACTCCATGGCCATCATCTGCTTCTCCTCTCTTTGGAGCCTGCATTGTGTGAGCCGTAGTTGGGAATTCTATAGCATCCTTCCACCTGAGGATCAAAGGGGATCGCAGTGCCACTAAGCACTGCTGGTTTTCCTCCCATTCCATCCAAACCTTCTGGAAACAGTGTCTTTTCACCGTGGGTGTCCATCACCTCTCCACTGCCAACAGGGATACTCGGGCAGCCTCGTCATCTTGCTGCTGCTTGTTTTCCTGGAGAATTTGCAGCAGAGCCTTCGGGAAGTGCCTTTCTGCTAGCAGCACGTGTGCGCTGCTGAGCCCCCTGGGCCCCTGCCCAACTGGACCTGGAGCCTGCTGGTCTTGCCAGGGACCTGCTGGGGCTGGGTATTTTCCTGTGGATGTTACAGGACTGTACAGCTCTTAAAAAGCCAAGTTGGAAAGGGTTGCTCTTTCCCCCTCTCTTGTTTTGGTTTGGGGTTTGGTTTTTTTTTTTTTTTTCCTCTTTAATCTCCAGGAGATTTGACAATTACGGATTTGGGATACATCAGCAGGTGGCCGTGTTATTCACCTCCTGGTGCAGAATTAATCTTTGCTCTCTGGAAATTCAAGGACAGGGTAGAGGACCGAGTGAACTGCCAGCTCCATAAAGATAATCTGGCCAATTAATGGATGCACTGTGTACTTTTAATAGGTCTTCTTCCATCTTTTGAGCAGTGTGATTGCCATGCATAGCTTAGCAAGCCCTCCCTCCTCCTGCTCCGAACCCTGGTGAGAGCCTGTGGAGCAATTTCCATGGAAGGGGACTGGAGAGGGTCAGCCTTTCGAGTTGGAAAGTGTTTGTGGCTGGCTCAGCTATCCAGGGTTTTCCTTTCCATGCTTGCTGCCGTGGTATCCCAGACATTCATTTAATCAGAAACACGTGGAGACACACGTGTCAATCGTCCAAAGGGAACATGGAGAGGAAAAAGCAACTTTAAATCCAGTTGCCCCGTTATGCCCCGTTTGGTGAGCGACAAGGAAGCCGTGACTGGGTGTCCCGGTGACCCAGCTGGATGCTGGTCTCCCCTGGGGTTGAATTGCTGGAAGTGCTGCGGCAGCGCTCCTTGCCTTTGCACAGGACAGCCTTTGGCCAGCCACGCATCCCGTCCTTGAAGCCAGTTTTCCTGACACAAGGCGAATGTACAAATTATTTTTCAGCTGTCAGTTTAGGAAGAGAAGAGACGCTTCATTTCAAAACTAAAGATTGGAGCGTGGTCAAAGCCAACTAAGGTATAGTCTGCTCACTTATTTTATTTAACCTGGGGTTTATAGCAGTACTGTCTGGATTTTATGATCGTTTATTTATGATAGTCTTCTAAGCAGATTGGTTAGAAGTAACCCTTCTGCTATTTCTTTCTCTTCTCCTCTTGGCCTGTGCTTTTAATAAAGTGACGTCACTTGCTTGGAGAACATGAAATGCCATGTAAGCTTCATGTGATAAGGCACTTTAAACGGGCACATTGAAGAATCCGGCAAGGCACAACTTGTAAGGGGAATGTCTTTCAGTAGCAAGCTGATCTAATTGGGAAACATGGTTTTACACCCGAGTGACACACTTGTACAGGTCTTGGAGGAGGCTTGTGGCATATGCGGGCTGTGCTCGCTTTCTGGAGCGTGCTGATGGCTCCTGCATGCCCTGCGGATCCGCGATGTCCCTGGGAGGCAGATTCACATCCTGTGCTATTTTTATAGGGTTTATTTCACAGTTGCTCAATGACAAGATTAAGTTTAGGCCTGGGTTAGGTCCTTTTCCTTTTATATTTGAACTTCTGAAACTTTGGAAGTGGTAGAGGTGGTGGTGCCCAGTCTCACGTGAACCAACCTGAGCGGGAGACACCAGCTGTCCCCCAGGGCGCTTGCAGCTGCATGGCAAGTGTGCCCTCGAGAGAGGTTTCCACTCAAAAAAGTGGTCAAGAGCAAAGACCTCGTGGTAAAACAAGAAATTGAAAAGTATACCTGGTTTTTGAGGTTGTAGCTTTCAAACATCTGTCTTGCTGCCTTCACGTTTTTAGAGTTGAAGAACTTAATATGCAAGAGGTAGAGTTTTGTTTGCATTGCTGTTGATAGTAGAGGTTGATCAGAAGTCTAAAGTAAGGTAGGTAGTGTTGGCATCTGAGTTTTCAAGGTTTCCAATTTCCTGTGCTGATTTTCAGCACTGGAGTCATTCTTGTTTCTTTTCCCCGTCTTCTGGAGAGCAACAAGCCTTTGAAGCATTCCAGCCTTCCACTGTCTCATTTTTATGACAAAAGCCACATGGATTGAAAGCTGATAGGTTCGGGCTCGTGTTCTGGTGGCTCTGTGGTCCTGCCCTGGGGCTGGGCAGCCTGGGGGGATGCTGTCACTGCAGTAATCGCATTTCTCTTCCTTTGGTAGCTGGTGATGGAGTTCTGCGGTGCGGGCTCCGTCACCGACCTCATCAAGAACACGAAGGGGAACACCTTGAAGGAGGAGTGGATCGCCTACATCTGCAGAGAGATTTTAAGGGTACGTGTCTAAAGGGAGCTAAATGTCAGGTGGTGTTGGAGTATTGCCCCCGGTGCTCGGGGACAGGGAAAGCCTTTGGCTCTGCAGGCTTTGTGGCTGCCATGGGCTGGAGCCTCTTTGGTGCCGGTAGGCACGAATGATTCATGTGCCTTTATGATGCATAATAAATAAGCCCTATTTAATGCCCTTTAGCTTTGTTAGTTCCCTGACTTTTAACCCTCTTTTTCCTTCAACAAAAATATAATTTCCTTTAGTATTAATAGGGCAAAGATTGATTTACGTTAGAATTACATTTTCAATTAACAGAAAGGTGAGGACTAATAAAGTCTGTGGAAAGAATCTTCATGATTAAAAAGCACCCCACGTTCTATTAAATCCACATCTCTGGCTTTAATGAGGGTGCTGCAGCTTTGCTACCCACAAGATAAATGTTGGACTGAAATGTCTTAAAATGGGCCATGCCAGAGTTCCATGTACTGGGAGATGGCAGCTCCAGCAAAGGCCTGCTTGCATGTTGCACAACTCTGGTCGGATGAAGTGATTGGAATGTTGCTCGACATTAAAATCTATCGTTCTCTGCACCAAGGTTTTGCTCAGGAGAAGACAGAAGTATCAGACATGTGAAGGAAAACCTGTGGAAGAGCCATTTAAGTGATAGAGCAAGAGGAAACGTCCTCAAGTTGTGCTAGAGGAGGTTTAGATTGGATATTGGGAGAAATTTGTTCATAGAAAGGTCTGTCAGGCACGGGAATGGGCTGCCCAGGGAGGTGGTGGAGTCACCATCCCTAGGGTGAGAGACGTGTGGATGAAGTGCTAAGGGAGATGGTTTAGTGGTGGTCTTGATAGTGTTGGGTTAACGGTTGGACTCTGATCTTAAAGGTCTTTTCCAACCTAAATGATTCTGTAATTCTGTGAAAGAAAACAGGAGAAAAAGACTGCTCCGTAAGGAGGTGCCTGACACCGCTGCTGGTGAGACAGCACTTCTCTTGACCCTGAATGCCACCGTCCGCACCGACATGATGTGCAGAAGACGTTGGCGCTGTAGCTAATGAGTTGTTGTACGGACACTGCTTTCAGTGCCAGGAAACCACAACTACACGGGTTTATTTTAAATGTATGAGCTTTGCAAGCCTACCTCTTAAAATAGTGCCTGGCAGAGAGTCAGAACCCAGCCACTGACCTGCGTCCCAGGGCCACCGTCGCGTGTCATTGCTCGCGTTACAGCCACCCCTTGGGGCAGGGGGTTGGTGACATCTATAGGGTTTCAGGTGATGAAAACTTCCCACCTTCTTAGACTGACCTGCGTCCCAGGGCCACCGTTGCGTGTCATTGCTCGCGTTTCAGCCACCCCTTGGGGCAGGGTGTTGGTGACATCTGTAGGGTTTCAGGTGACGAAAACTTCCCACCTTCTTATGCCACAGAAGGCGGCTCATTCTCGGTTCAGACGCTGAGGTCTGGTTGTAATTCTCTCACAACTGAATTTTGAATTTCAATTTTTGAAATTTTCGCTGTGCCTCTAACCTGGTATAACGTGGCTAAGAAAGGGCTCCCACACAGGTACAATCTGTTCCACGGTGTTGTACCAGCATAACAAGTGTAAAATGACTAATAACTACCAGTAGCAATAGCAGAAATTATTTTCCTCCTCAAATATGAATGTTTCATATGAAATGTAAACCTAATGCAAAATTAGTTTTTGAAGTAATCCATATTTTTACTAAGCTGGCAATAGAGGCGAGTATTACTTTGAAACTGAAATAATAAGTGAACAAAATAAAAATGTAGCTTGCAAAAAGAAATTAATGAGCTAATAAAAAAGCACTGTGGAAAAGCTAGTTTACCTTTAGCCTTTGAGACAGGCTTTTAATTTGAGCTATATCTCCATTCGGGATACGTGCAAGTTATAATATTTGTATTTGCATGGGAGCTTTTTTTAATACAAGTGTATCAGAGTATTGAAGTGCCGTTTATGAGACCAATATAACAAAAGAATTGTTTTCTTCAGTTTCTGGATGATGGAAGTAGAGGAAGGAGACAAAACCATTCCGTTACTTCTGCTACGGAAATGGCTCCCTAAGGCACGGGAGCACATGGGGGAAAATACGTCTAGAGCTACGGAGGAATTTGGGTTAATATGGGTGCCTGCAGGAACTGGAAGGTTGGGTTTATTCCCTATGGAATTGATGGTTCCCGTCTCCTGCTACGGAGAGCACCCACTGCGGCACACAGAGCTGGTCGGTGGGCGTCTCGCTTGCTGGGTATGTCTTCCCAGCCTGTGACACAGGACAGTATTTCCAACGCATGATAAACAAAAGCATTCTCAAGTGCTTAACTCCGACTGTGAATCTTTCATTTCTGGAGCGTAATTGGTTGAGGAGGAATGTCAGAAAATAACATGCTTTGAACCTGGATTCCTCTAACCTTTCTCTGAATTCTCCAGGGCTTGAGTCATCTACACCAGCACAAAGTAATTCATCGAGACATCAAGGGACAGAATGTGTTGCTGACGGAAAATGCAGAAGTTAAACTAGGTAAGGAGGGGTTGGAGCGCTTGGAAACTGGGAGTGGTTTGGCTGGAGAGAAGCAGCAAAGCTGACATGTACATGACCTGGAGAAAGGGGATGGATGCTAAGAGCTACTCCGTGATTTCCAGTGCCATAACATGACCTTGGGTGTTGACCAAGTGCTGTGCAATAAAACTGGGGGGGGTTGGTGGCCAAGTTCTGCATGTAGTACCTGCAGTGGTGTTTCTGTTCAGACAGGTAGTTTGGGCAGCTCTGCCGTCGGATACAGGTTAAGCAATCCAAGACCGGTCTTTCGTGCCCCAGATTGAAAATTGGCCTCTGTGCATCACCAGCTGTCGTAGAAAGCTGTTCCCTCGCACCTTCATATAGTGTCCTACAGGATCGCAGTCCAGTCAGTTTAGTGTCACATAATCCAGATTTGTTTTCCCAGCCAACCTCTTGGAGAGAGCTTAATTTGCTAGAGCTACTCCGAATTTCGCGTGTGATGTTGGTCACCCTGGCGAAGCCCAGGCATTCATGTGAAGGTCATCTGGAAGACAGCAGGTCAGCACAGGTGATGTGCTGAGTTCCTCAGTTGCCCAACACCGATGTTAAGGCTGTCTTGGGCGTTTTACCTTATGCTGGTGATGAAAGAACCCTTGCACTGATCAAGTGAGGTGCAGGCCTGGTTTTTCCCACGTCTCTCCTCTCTGTTTATAGCAGAATAAAAAAACCTGTTTAACAGATGGCACCACCAGCTCGTTTGGCTTTATGCTGGTGAAGGTTCCCCTCCAAGGGGAAATTCTCCAGGGCAAATCTCCAACCATTGTGCTGCGCAAGGTGAACTTAGTGGACCATAGAGAATTCTCTCATTGATTTGATTTCATCAGGTTTTGCTTCATTTTGCAGCTCTCTGCCTGACATTTCCCTATGGGCCTTTGTCCTTGGCCCTTAGTTCCTTCAGTCTTCTGCATTTCTGCCATTTCCAGCAAGAATTTAGGTAGAAAAATGAGGCTTCTACCAACATTTGGCAAGCTTTAATTCAAATGAGGAAGCATAGAACAAAGACTGCTGCTTATTCATGTTGCTAACCCTGTTTCTCATTAGTATGAGGAGCTGTGATGTCTTTTCAGTGCCTCCTGGCAAGGAGGAAAAGGTGCAGGGGATCTTACAAAACCTGGACATCAGCTGATCAGGTTCGTCCTTGGTTGACCCCTGTGGATTAATGTCTCTGGTCCTGTCTTTCTGACTGTGCAGAGAAGTTGGTCTGAATGAATTTGATGTGTTCCTGTCGGGAGAAGAGTCAGGTTTTCTCCCCTGCTTACGATGCCCTGTTGTGTCTCTGGTCCGCAGTGGATTTCGGTGTCAGCGCTCAGCTGGACAGAACGGTGGGCAGGAGGAACACCTTCATCGGAACGCCTTACTGGATGGCCCCCGAGGTCATCGCCTGCGATGAAAACCCCGATGCCACTTACGACTTCAAGGTACCTCAACGAGCGTCTTCCTACTCTTCCGTACGTCGTTGCAGATGCGATGGCACGTTCACAAACAAGGCAGGCGTGGAATTAAAGCAGCACTTAGCGGTGCTTGCTGGGGGAGAGTTGTGATCATAAGCATCGGAAGAAGGTGCTTGGTATGGTGTTGTGTTTTATGCCCCCGTACCCTGAACTGAAGCACTCAGGGATTTAGTGTGTTCTTGCAGCTGTGCAGACTATGTTGACAGGCAGCGTAGTCTCCTCCTCCTCTCCGGCTGTTGGGTTTTGGGATGCCAACTGAGGTCCAATGTGAATCTTTGCTGTGCTGTTCACGTATCCGAATTTACTGTGAAGAAGCTTTCCCCGTGCTGGGAAAAGTGTCAGACTGAGGCTTCCTACCTGCTGACCTGCTTTTCAGAGCTGCATGTTTAAATACTACAGTCAAACATGCTGTATTTGCTCTATTTACTCTGGAGGGAGAAGTCGGGTCAGGCTTAGAAAGGGCAAAATCACATCTTCTGGCCCGCAGGCTGGTATTCGCAGGGAGATCTGAAGGTTGCCACACAATCAGACGTTTGGGGGGCTGACCTACTTTTCACATGTCTCCATTGCCTGTTTGAAGTTTATTTTTGGATCAGTGGCAGCACAACATTGCTGCTGAGTTATCATGTGGCACAGAGCCCCGTGCCACACAAGAGCACCACAGGAGGGTTATGAGTCCCACCTGCCCATTCAAACTACAGCGAGGTCCACTGTTGAAAACAAGGAGGTGTTTTATATTTTATCCTGTCTCTGCCTTTCTGCAAGTTTCTGGACACACATCTGTAGAGATGCTCCTCGATTTTTTTGTCCCTTGTTCTTTTGGTGCATCCAGATCTTGAATTTCTAGCTCCAGACCCCTTAAGCATGCTGAGCATGTCCAGAGAGTGGAGCAGGACGCTGACACGTGGGCTTTTGGAGGAGCAGCTCAGGCACAGACACGGTTCGCTGTACCTCTCTTAGGCCCGTGCTGAGAGATCGCGTTAAAGGTCATGTTTAAAAAGGGCTTTGATACCCTCTGGTGTGGAGCGAGGTAGCTGCTTTCTGACAGCAGGACGCTGCGATATAATAGTGTAACAGCCCGCCATCGTGGTACGATGTGGGGTTCAATTCCCAGTCACTCCGAGAGCTTTTTGAGAGCTGAAGGATTTTAAAGTAAGCAAGCGATGCTTTGGTACTGCATCTGTTTTAAGTGCATCAGTCAACTTCTGAACTGATGTTTTTCCAGAGAGCAGCTCTCCGGTGTAACTTCAGACTCCAGGTTCCGTAAGGTGTTAACGATAACGACATGTAGAAATGGTCTAATCTACGATTGCTCAATTCTCTTTGATTAACCCAGTTACAACGGGCATTTCCTCAGCTCTGCTGATGGCAGCGTTTCGTAGCAGGGCTGCAGCCCACGCGAGCTCCTCCGCTGACAGTCGCCAGGCTCTGACGATGCAATGCTCTAATTAATCACAGCTTTTTGTTATTATTATTATTTTTAAAATGACTGATATCTTCATAGGCTACTTTCTACCCTCAGAAATCCCTGAGTTTTTTTTCTCTTTCCAGAATAACTAGGGCACTTAATATGCCGTTGACTGATGCGCAAGCGCCAGGGCCAGAATCCCTCTATTGTCCCCGAGGATCAAACGCTCATAACGAGCCGGGCGCTTGCATCTCTGAAGTTGGCACTGACTGTTTTCCCTTGGCTGGGGGTATGAAACAGAAGGCTGATTGCTGCCGACACACTCACTGCAGGGTGTTTTTGGAGCTCCTGGTGAGGGGAGAGCTACTGGACGTTAGTCCATACCCCGGATCACATCCCTGCACCTGATGTTCTTGCTTTGAAGTGGGGAGAAATATGTAAATTATGTATTTTATTTTTTTTTTAAAGGGATGCAAATCAGATGCTCTTAGGTTTAGCCGACTGGCTTAAAACAGTGAATACAAAAGATGAGATTTATAGGGTGAAAAAAGGAATCCTCACAGGCTTAATCTGTTGGACAAAAAGCCTCTGATCTCACTGTTTTCTTAGCCAGAAAGAGATGCCTGTGTAATCTATGGAAGGAGGCATTAAATACCTCCTCACAAAAACAAACCACTTCTAAAAACAGCAAATAGAAACCCCACATTGTTGAGGTTATTTGTTGTTTTTTCTCCCCCAGCCGGTCTTCCCCTTTTCTTTAGAGTTATCTTGTCAATAAGCTCAGAATCAAGAGGCGGGGGGGTGGGAAGGAAGCTTACTTCCCTTCCCAAGTCAAGACAATGCAAATATATTAGCACGACATCTTTTTGCTGGGGGGACTGAAAAGCTTTTGAGATTCAAAAATAAAAACCACACACAAAAGAAAAACCCCAAAACCCTGAATTCCAGATCATTATAAAATGTGTGCTTCCCGCTGAGTTTTCTGCTTTCCCTGGGAGACTTAGAGAGGTGATAATCCCTTTCTATATTGCTCCAGCTTTAAGATCACTCGGCATCTTGCGTATAATACTGGGCACCTCAATATGGAAAGACACACTAGGAATTTGGAAGGAGTTCAGCAGCAACCCAAAGGGAAGGGGTCATGTGTGCTGAGTCATGTGGAAAGACTGTGATAATTAAGTATGCGGCAGAAATCCCAACAGACCAGAAACAAAGAATGGAGGAGACTGTCCTGCTGGAAATGAGATTTGAGAGAGAATTTTTAAGCAGGTACAAAGATGTGTAGCAAGGACGACATTTGTTAGGGGAGAACTTGAGTCAAAAATGAGGAGAAGTGCTTTGAAATTGGAAATCCAAGTTGTCTTTCCTGGATGGAGTACATGAGAAGGTGCTTGTGGTCTCCAAAGGCTCTCTTCTCGGGGGGGGAAAGACACCTCTCTAGGATTTACTGCCTAAATTGCAGGTTTAGAGACTTGAAGAGGTTTGGAAAGGGCAACTCTTGACCAAAGAGGAGAAAACCGAAGCGGGACTGCAGGGACATGGCAGAGCAGGGCAAAGGGAGAGCAAGACGTGAAAGCTGGAGGTGCAGGAGGAGGGCTGGAAGGCAGACTCCGTCCTCTTCCACCCTGAGGTGTACCTATTTACAGCGTTTACAGTTTTTGACGTGCTAACCAGAGTTTTCTGGTCTCCAGCAAACATCAGCTGCAGCTACAGAGCATCAGGCTTGTCCTGGTCCTCTGTGCCCCTGCAGCTTTCGCTCTTGCCTCCCTCCCGTCTCAGGCAGGTCTCTCCACGCCCTGGGGATGTGTCAGAGGCTGCGCACGAGATGAAGACGCCGAAGTTAGTCTGGGTCCTGTTCTGCTGCGTCGGCTGCTGGGTTGTTAATCATGAGCAGCCCTGTACATGGTGTCTGGAATAATGAATTAGCCGCTTTCTGCCAAAAACCCAAGTTGCGGCGGTGCCGTGGGGGAAGGGTGCTCGTTTTCTCTCCCTGGGCACATACTGTCTCTGCCTCTGCTGCTGTCCGGGAGAGCCAAGCTGTCCTTGGGGGCTCATTACCAGAGCTGGAGGTGCAGCCACAGCTCAGCGGTGATGGGCTGGGGAGGAGGTGCTGGAGGGGAGCTCACCACTGCTCTCTGTCAGGGAGCTGGGAATGTTAATGTCCCTGTTGGCAAGGGAGAAAATGGAAGGGTGACACAAGTATGAAATCAAAGAGTTTTCCCTGTAGGTGTGTGCTCTGTGCTCTGATCATTCAGGAATCTCAGCCAACGATGCAGGCTTGGGAACAGGGTAAATATAAGTGCCCATTTCTCCTTCCATTGGTGAAATGCCACATTTCAGGCTTCCATTTAACAAGCAGTCTATGATCCAAGAAGCCTCCTGAGGTATCTCAAGATATTTCACGTTTTTAATCTATTCCAGGCAGCCCATTTTCTGTGGAGCTGTATCGACTCCATGGATGTATTACCCAGCTCTAAGCAGGGAGCTGGCAGCCAGGTTTGCTGCGCACCCCAGCTGTGAAGCTGGGTTGTATTGGTCACCAGCTCATCTGGGAGCCAGAGGTTTGTTCGTTAGTGCACAGGGCTCATTAAGGTGGCTACACCAGGGGAACTTAAGGTCATCAGCATCTCCCCAGGCCGCAGCCTCACCACAGCTACTGAGAGCGGTGCCCAGCAAGGTGGGCATGTCCCACACCGAAAACACCTCGAAGGTCTTGAAAAAATCTTGGAATAAACAGTGGGGTTGGGAACCTCTTCTAAAGCCCCAAGATGTGGTGGAAGAATGGGACAGGATCCTAGGATGTGAGTCCAGGGGCTTGCAGAGTCCCAGCTCACAGCGCTGAGCCCCCCGGGCTGGGGAGAGCCGTGCATTCCCCCTCGCCCGGTGCCCGCCGCTGTGACGGTGCTCCCCTGCATCACATATATCCCTCTGCTTTCTTTTACAGAGCGACCTGTGGTCTTTGGGCATAACAGCCATCGAGATGGCAGAAGGCGCTCCCCGTAAGTAGATGCATTGCTCTGCTTTAATTAACCCTGAGTTGTAATGTGCTGCGCCCTCTGGGACTCAGATTCCTCAAATGAAATACAGATGAAGGAGGGGTGGGGGACTGGAAGCAGGTAAAACACGGCTCAGCGCTGGTGTTTCACCGACCTCCGCGGTGACACAGGTGACACACGTCCTTGTGTGCTGGTAAATAAAGCAGAGCGTGGTGGCACGTGGTGCAGCTGTACCATGCTCCCGGCACCTGGCAGTTTGCTGGGAACATTGGCTCCCACCTGCGGTCCAGGCCGACCCCAGCCCAGGGAGTGTCTGTGGGGAGTTGTCACCGTAAATCCACCTGCTGTGGTGGTCCTGGAGCTTCAGAGGAAACTTGGGTCTCCCCAGTCAGGTGTGTAGCCTCTATTTAGGAGACCGGGGTGTTGGGGGGCGAGAGATGGTGTGTCTGCGAGATGCCGTGCTGCGTTTAATGCCTCTTCTTGCAATTGGCAGCTCTCTGTGACATGCATCCCATGAGAGCCCTCTTCCTCATCCCCCGCAACCCGGCCCCGAGGTTGAAATCAAAGAAGTGGTGAGTCTCTCTCTGTCTTCAACGACTGTAAAGCATTTCTGGAGCAGCCTGTTCCTGCAGCTCAGGCGAGGTGGCGCTTTGGGGTATATATTTGTATGGCTTTGGGGTCAGTGATGGTCTCCAGCATGTGCAGGTTTGGGTCGTGATCTCCTAAGGAGGGGCAATTTGGTCTGAAAGTCGCTCACCATGGGATGAAGGGCTTCCTAGGTAGGCAGAGGGGGGAACACTCTCTGACACTGCCATTTTGCAGCATTCAGTTGGCTTTTCCAAGGCACTTTGTGCAGCCTGAAGCCAGATGACACTTTACTTGGCTCCAGTTTCTTTCCAGTCAGGTTCCGTTTTCAAGTGGAAACAAGTATCCAGGCCAAAAAAAAGGATAGTTTATCTTGAAGGCCCAGGAATGCAGAGATTTGTACGTAGTTTAGGCTTTATTTTAAAATTTTGCAGGAAAAAATACATCACTGTTTTGAGGAAAAAAAAAAACCAGCAGGGCATGCCAATAAAAACCCGTAGGAAAAATATTCCTGAAGCCCAGCAGATGTTGTTTTGTTACTGTATGTTCTGTACTGATGGAGCTGAAATCCTTAAAAACACTCTTCTCTGGTTCATGCTGTTTGCCTGCCCCAGGTTCTGCAGTGGTTTGATCAGGAAAGATCTGCCAGTTATTAGAGAGACAGCACTGTCTTGGTCCCAGACAGGCTGAGCTCACAGAGGGAAGTTTTGCCTTACTCCTTGAAATTATGCTTATTACCTTGTTGTAGGTGCACAAAAAAGAAGAGCAGTTGGTAAGTGCTGAAAACATTTGGTGCCACAGCAGCAGCTGCAGGTACTTTGTTGCTGGGAGAGGAGTGAGAAGGTATTGGAGTCCTCTGCATCAGATGCATGGTGTTGGGGTTTTGGGAACAGCCCCTAAAAACTCACCCAGGCTTTGTCAGAAGGCATCATAGTTTTGTCAGCCTGATCGTCAGCTGCTCCAGTACCAAACCAAGAGGAGATGGACCTTTCCTGGCTGGCTGTCCGGAGGGTGTCAAGGATGCTCGCGCTCCTTGCAGACTCTTTTGAGGATACTGTTAGGCAGCTGAGAAAATAGTATATATGCTTGTTTTCTGCCCCATCACCAGTTCCCTACTTCATTACCCTCACTGCTGCAGCACAAAAAGGATTGTAAGACTTTAGAGTTTAGTTTTCATACAGAAGCGCTGTTTATTCAGCAAAGGCTTACTCAACCCCCAGGCCGAGGCGAGCTCACGAAAGCAGGTTTTGAGCAGAACATTTTCCCGTCTCCTTAAGGTAAAAGCAGAGCTGGGGTGGAAGCTGTATTTTCTTCCCGGGATGTGCTTTGTGCTTGGCAGCACCTTCCCCTCGCATGGCCAGTGCCTGTCTCAGGTTTGCACGTCTCGTGGAGGTGAACCATGGTGGGGTATGCCTCGAGCCGGCTGGTCTGTCCTGGGCTGCTATATCCATCTTCCAAGCTTCCATTGCAATGGGAAACTCCGAAGGAGCCAGATGAAGCTCCAAGTCAGGACGACTCCTTCAGAGCAATTTTTTCCAGCGTTTTCAGAGGGTCACTGGGCAAATTTGCTGCCCTTGGCTCATTTCTCAGCTGGAGGTTTTGGGCCCGACTAGGATGGGTCCTAGAGCTCTGCAAGCCTGACCCAAGAAGACTGGAGATGTTTGACCAGGCTTTCACAGTGGTTTTTCTGGCAGCTAGTGGGCTGGTTTTCACAGGCACAGATCACAAAAGGAAAACAAGATGAAGAATAGTTCAGCTTGAATCTTGCATTCAGCCTTGCTTCTGCATGCTGCAGCACCTGGAAGTACACCAGCTGGGCAGCCCATCTTTTTCCGTAGGTGAAAAAAATGGCAGAGGGACCCCAGCACATTTGAGGGTTGGTCAGGGGAGACCGAGAGGGAAAACTGGCACAGAGCTTGTGCCCTGAATTGAAAATCCAAGAAGAAAATACTTTTCTTGCTTACTAAATCCTTGAACTTGCGTTTAAAATAGACCTGTGTTCGTATGGAATCGAAGAGTCTTTGGTATCATTTCCTTTCTCAATTAAACCCAGCCAGCAATGAAGCTTTTAATTTCTTCTTCCCATGTTTCTTCAGTAAAATGGACTTGGCCTTTAGTGGTGCTGTTCCCATAAGCACTCCCTAGCCCTACCTTACAAGAGATGACAAAACCTCTTTGTTAAAGAGGTGATATTTGCACTGTGATCCCACTTTTCATCCAAGCAGCTGCAAAGACTTTGCAAACATTGATTTAAGCTTTACAAACCCCAGGAGCTGGAGGAGCGCATGTTTCATGAAGGTGGGCTGACCTGTACCCGGGGAGGGGATGAGATATATGACTGTGTCCTCCTGGATCAGGGACAGAGAGAAAGCCCTTGCCTTCTGCTCCAGCTCCGATGAGGGCTGAACTGTGCCACTGGACATCCCCAAACCCATCACTTACTGGGGAATAGCTTTTTAGCTGCTTCAGCTCAGCCGTAGTTGTGGGTGCTCTGGACCATGCACCCAGGACCGGAGTCTCTCCAGCTTCACACCAACAGAAGAGAACCGTATTTTAGAAGCAGATTTTGTTTGAGCATCATGTGTATTGTCCCTTCTAGAATACACCGAGACACAGGGTTTCTTGAGGCAAGGTGGGGAAGGAAGATTTGCTCATTAATAAAGCTGGAGGGAAGATTTAATTGGATCTAGTAGAATATTTTATTTTTGCATCTCAATTTGTATGGATTAGCACTTAAAAGATAAATCACTTTTAGTCTGACAGCTTAAAAGTAAAATCCCTGAAAGCTTATTGTTTTATTTCTAATGCAAATTTGTAGTATCTGTTGGCTTCTGACATTAATTTACGCTCATTTTCTATTTGCTAAAGCAACACGAAGTATAGTGGCCTGTCAACATCTTTCATTCTTGTAAATCCCTGTTGTCTTGGGTTTATAATGTGGTGAAATTAGTTCCAGGAAAACTTTCGATACGCAACACTAAAGACTAAGAGAAATTTGTTTATTAAAGAATTGGCTGAAACTGTTTTAGCTGAGATTGAATTTAACTGTTTGTGGAAGACAGGCTGCGAGGAGGGGCTAGACTCCGCCACCCGCAGCCGTGTTCCCACCTCTGTCCCAGCTGTGCTGCCTGAAGAGCACATCCCATTTGCCTGGCTCCTTCCTCGGGGGGACCGGGACGCGGTGGTCCCCAGGACCTGGTGGGTCAGTAATGCTGCTGGGGCTCACCCTAAGAGAGCAGGGAGGGGTGGCAGGCAGGGAGCAGCGCCCAGGGGTTGTCTGATCTGTTAAATTTAACAAAAAACCATCAACATAGCTTGTCCCACTTATCTTCAGAAAGGTACATCTCTTGAAACACCACCTGGGGCCACAAAATATGGAAAAAATCCATTAAGGAATTGCATTTATATCTGTGTGTGTTGTCTCTCATTTCTACCTGCACTGTCACAGGGCAGAGGGAAGGGAGGAGGGAGCTTCTTGCGTTTTCTTGGTTGCCATCGATGACATCTGGCTTTAGTGACTCCTTCGTCATAGTGATGGTTCCCAACTTTCTCCAGACTCAGCAGGGTCTGGTTTCTCCTAGTTGCACCAGGAAGGCATAGGTGGGAGCATGCATGGGAAGAGTAGCAGAGGATAAAGCGAAGGGGGCACACGTGATGGTGCTGCTTTGAGGCTGGGCTAAGCATCAGCAGAGAAGTCACATGAATCCACTTGGATGGCTGCATCTGGGCATGAACCATGCCAAACGGCCTCTCATACCCACAGGTTTCTCACTTTCTAATGCAAGAATCGATACAGTTACCTGTTCTTTTCAGTGTCTTCCTTTTGTGTCCTGGGCCAGGTCTAAAAAGTTTCAGTCCTTCATCGAGAGCTGCCTAGTGAAGAACCACAGCCAGAGACCAACCACGGAGCAGCTGATGAAGCATCCCTTCATCCGAGACCAGCCCAACGAAAGGCAGGTCCGCATCCAGCTCAAGGACCACATCGACAGGACTAAAAAGAAGCGAGGCGAGAAAGGTTAGTGGAGAAGTGAGAACGATCAGCGGAGAAGCAGTGCTCTGGGCAGCCCTTGGCCTCTGCCATGTCCTTGGAGAGCCCTTAGGGTTGACCAGGGCGCCTCTGTGTGGGTGAAACATACGGGTAGAAGGAGGAGGGCAAAGAGGACTGGGTTGCTCGTGGTTTCGGTACCAGTTTCTCTTATTCCGACGGCTAAGCTTGTTCACAAAGTGGGTGAGGTAAATAGGTGTGGTACTTCCGTGGGATCGCGCTTCTTATGGTTTTGAGGTCAGATTATTTTGTTGGATTTGGTTCAGCTCAGTCACTGAAATGAAAATAAATATCCATAACCAAACAATCGGTGCTCTTACAAAGCCTACAGTAGATTGTCATTAGAGCTAATCAGTGGGTTTAAGTTTTTTTTTTTTTTTTCCTGATGAGAAATGATGGTTTTTATCCAGCTGGTAATTTCCACATGGAACATTGAAGCTTTGATTCATTAAAATGCGTGTATAAAATTTACGTCCGCGTGTACGCGTACTGGCGTGTGGGAGGGAGAAGCTGCTAAGCTGAATTTTTCCCAGCTCACGTATTTCATGCCAGGTCTGTTGATCTGTGTGACATTCATGCAGCACCAGCGATGAGCGGAGCTGTGCAAACGGACGTCTAGATAAGACCCTTGCCCCAAAGCAATTCCGTTGACTAGGAATAACCCATTAACCTGAATATTTTCAGTGAACTCTCCAGCCCCTATCAAAGCCCTTTGAAAGGGAGATGAGATAGCCGAAGAAACTTGTTAAAGTGTTCAGCTGCTTGTGAACCCAATTTTAATTTGAAAGCTCGTTTGTAGAATCCAGCAAATTAATATGTCACTATTTCTCCTCTTATTGGTAGCGGTATTAATTTTTCATGTGTACCTTCCAGCCCCTTGTAATAGATTTCACTACAATCAAAACAATAAAACGGGATCCCAGTGAAGTATTAAATGTGTTTAGTCTGGGAAATGAAGGTTGGACCCTAGAGATGGAGAGTAATTGGATAAATGCAAGCTTTTCTTTCACTATCATTCCCTTCAACCGATAAAGAGGATATCCGAATAGAAATCACAGTATGTAGCATAACATTGCAGTTGGGCTTTTATGTAGATGTCTTCATTGCCTGGAAAATAGATGGATTTGCATAGGAAGAGCATAGGGAGAGAGAAGAAGTCGGTGCCTTCAGAGCAATAGTTAAATCCCACCTTCCAGTGCCTGTGCCTTCCACAGTTTGTGATGCACCTCCTGAAGGAGGGGGTCACTCACTGTCGTTGCTGTATGGGGATAAATTCTTGTTTTATGGGCAACCCCCATCTTTGCATCGTGCATCTGTGGTCACTGGGGCCGTTGCCCGCTGTGCTGGACCCGCAGCCCTCTTCCCAGCCAGCACGGGTGTGCGGGGCACCAGTCCCCAGGGAGACCAGCCGTGTTACCCTGGCCTGGCAGCCCCCAGTCAAAACAGAAAATGCAGATAAATAATAATGCTTATTCTTTGTCAGATGAGAAAAAGAGAGTTGTCTGTTCCGCCTTCAGAGCTCTGGGGTTTTCAGCCACTGGAAAAACAAATGAGTCCAGCAAAGGGCACTGATGAGCAATTTTTTTCCTAGATGAGACAGAGTATGAGTACAGTGGAAGTGAGGAGGAGGAGGAGGAAAATGACTCTGGAGAGCCCAGGTAAGAATTGGTAGAATCAGCACTGCATTTTTGCATTTACATCTCCAACTCTGTATAAAATCAGCTTGGATTCCAGGCTGCTATGAACTAGAAATGGAAAAAGAACAGTTTGAGCACTGAGTCCCATTCCCTGGCAGAACAGTGTATTCCCTCTACTGGATGGTGCGTGGGTATAAACTGGTGCTCGGGTCACCTTGGCCGAAAGCTGGGGAAGAAGAGCCAGGTTCCCCGTCGCCCGTGGGATCTGTGGCATGGTGTGCTGCTGACATGGGAGTTGTGGGTATTTGGATGTGGAAAAAACGTGAGGCACACTTAATGAAGACTTTAAAATGTGGTTCCTTTCCTTACATCCAAGTGTAGCTCCCTATTTCCATGCAACTTTTCACCATGGAACCTCCCCAGTGGTGCTGCAAGCCCGGTAGGGCTGGAACTTTCTTTGGTGACATTTTTCAGAGCCATTGTAATTAGTATCAGGTTATTCCATTATTTCACGGAGATAATGTAGTATTTTAATAGCTGGCAATGATTCATGCTAAATGTGCTTTGTGAACAGCTAAATATAGTGTGTGCCACTGCAGCACAGGAGGCTTTGGATAGAAACTTAATGAAAATGAAAACTTCAGCAAATAAATTACTGATGAGCTGGGTCTGCTGCCCTTGTGGTCTCCCCCTCCCTCCATCCGCCCCCCGAGCACTGTCAGGTGTTGGGATGCTGTTGGGATGAAGAGGAGAGAGGCCACAGCGGAACTTGGCAAGAGGTTTGAGGATGCAGGAGGGGATGTTCTCCGATGCTTCTCTCCTATGCAGCTCCATCCTAAACCTGCCCGGGGAGTCGACGCTGAGACGGGATTTCTTGAGGCTGCAGCTGGCGAACAAGGAGCGGTCGGAGGCGCTGCGCCGGCAGCAGCTGGAGCAGCAGCAGCGGGAGAACGAGGAGCACAAGCGGCAGTTGCTGGCCGAGCGGCAGAAGCGGATCGAGGAGCAGAAGGAGCAGAGGCGAAGGCTGGAGGAGGTAACTCGCCAGAGCCGAGCAATGGGCTGGCAAAGGCTGGTTTTGGGCAGAACAGCGGGATTCCTGGTAGCAGGTCCCAAGTGACTGTTCGTAAGAAGGTTACACCCTACCCTGTCTAGTTGGTAGCCCCAAAAGTTTTGTGGTACTGGACAAACCCCCCACTCCTGCTTTCTGCATACAGCCTCAGGCCATGCTCCTCACCATAGTAAGTGTTGCCAGCTCCTGTGAAGGTGTCAGGGCTGGTTTGCTATAAATAAACCCTTCAAATATCAAACTTAAAAGGGTCCCTGGAACTACTGAGCAGAGTTAGCCCATTATTGGGGTGATAGCTGTATTCAGTGCAGGTGGGCAGAACTCTTACTGGTCCAGGCATCTGTCAAGTTGATTATCAGTTTTTGCTGCTGTGGACTGTTATAGTTGAGAAGAAGCTGAATAGCTCCGTTTGCCCTTTCCCCAGATCCATGTGCCACTTGTGTCCCCTTTAATCCCCAATTTCAACTTCAGTCCTTCCAGTCCCTACCAATTACAATTTCTCTTGCAGGGGAGGGCCAGATGTCTGCCTGACTTGTGCAATGATCCATATGTGCCCTGAAGCATAAGATTTCATTACCCTTGTCTTAACATACGAGCCACAAATACGATCAGTCATAAAATTATCCACCCCATTTAAAATCCAGCTGCAGGATTTGACCGGGTGACTTTGGGTGTCCATGACTTGCACAGCCCGGCTGCTTTCTCCGTGTCAAGTGCTCACTTTTGGTTTAGCTCTCAGTTCCTGGATTACAGAAGTCCACCAGAGAATAAGGGAGGGTTTCTCCTGGTTTGGGGGTTTTGATGTGGTTTTTGCACAAAGAAACCCATTGCCTCACACTGAACTCATCCGAAATGTCTCATTGAAGGGTTCATACTTTATGGGTCATTAAATTAGCTTTCTGAAGAGGTCATTGATATGTCTAAAGAAAAAAGAATTTGCAGTAAATGGGCTTTTAGAGCAGCCACCCCCTTAATTTGCGAGAGTCAGAGCGTCTCTCACATTTAACCTGTCTCTGTCTGCTGGGTAATGCCCCCTGGCCAGGGGCGCAGACAGGAAGGTATTTCAGGCAGCCGATGATGATGATTGTACAGACCCTCTTCGGGGTGGTCCAGAGCCCCTCGGGGCGAAACCCAACACTGGCAAATCCCAGGCAAAGCGTTTTTTCAGTCTGGTAAATATGTAGGTCTGTGGTGCTGTCAGAGCGCAGAGCATCAATACGTTGTAGGTCAAGCTTTTTTTGCGTCCCGCACGCTCTCAGAGCCGGAGAGCTGCTGTGAGAGGGGACAGAGTGTGCTCGTAGATGCACCCCAAAATCTCCTGCCCCGATAGATCTGAGGACTGTTGTAAGGAAGCCTGGCTCTGCCTTTGTCCCAGTCTGCTTGCTGCAAGCAGTACAGGAGCAGAACAACAGCAGAATAAAAGCAGACACCAGATTAACTGCAATCCTGTAATGAATACAATGCTTGCTGCTGTATTAATATGTTCTCTTCACATAGAAGAAAATTGTTCTCTCTCTTTGCTGCTTCCCAGGCAGGTTTTGAAGGGAGGACTAATCCTCTTGCTAAGCTGGCGAGCTCTGCCCTGAGCTACGGAGGCACTGTCTTGTGGGGCTGGGCTGTGCGCAGCCCCCACGGGCTCAGCTGGTTCCCCTTGTCCTTCCCCTCGCGTCATTAAAAGCCAATGCCACCGTAGCCAGGATTTAAAATCAATGCCTGTGTTGCTGGTGGCTCTGACAGCTCCCCCGTGCTCCTCACCCGTTGCCTCCTCCCGGCTATTTCACAGTTTTCAGCCCTAAATTGAAGGGGAGAGGTCTGCTGGAGCAAAGCTGGCAAGGAGGCGGTTGATGCTCATGCCATGTTGGAGAAGTCGGGAAAGGCAGTGAGACTGTAACTGAGAGGAATCCTCTGCTCGCCCTGGTGTGGGGCCGCCGGTGTGATCAGCCCGTGGCCTCAGCAGGATGAGGGCAGGGCACTGACCCCATCATCTTCTCGGCTGCCCATCTTTTTGGGTCTCTCTAGCCGTGTTCAGCCTCACCTGCATCTCCAGCCACGAAGTAAAATGAGCTCTCCTTGCTCTGGGACACCCTTTTCTTGGCAAGGAAGGCAGGCAGCGGAGTTGCTATGGTGAGGATTAAAGCAGGAGTCCTTGCAAAGGTACAAACCTGTTGGAAGTGCGGTGAGTTGAGGCAGTGGTTAGGAGGGACACTCCTTGGCGCGGCCCGTGCCGGCTGCAGGGTGTCGTGTCTGCCGTGGCGTGCTGTAGGAAACCCAGAAACATAGCAGAGCCAGAGATCAGCGAACAAAGTTGCATCGCTGCTGCGGGGAGAGGGCTAGAGGAGCTGCACAAGCAGCTTTGAGCATCCTCCCCTTGAGCTTCCTGCTCCTTGAGGAGTCTGAGCCTCCACCCTGGGGAGGGCTGCTGCCTCTCCTGGGGACACAGAAGGGATCCCCAAATTTCTAGCACAGCCAGACAGTGGTGGATATAGTTTGGTCTTTGTTCTTCGTAGATATTTTGGGGCAGGAAGCATCTGATGGCCAGACAGGTACCAACTAGCGGCTCTCCCAGCTGTGCCGAGTTTGGTACCACTGTCCGGTGGCACCCGGCACACTCCATCTCTGCCCCTGCAGTTTTGCTCCAGAGAGCAGCGTTGCTCCAGCTCCCACATCCATCACAATGGCACCCAAAGGCTCCAGCAGCCTGGCTCTTGCCTTTTGGCCTCTGCTTTTCCGTACGCTAGCTTTTCACTGACTTCAGTTGTTGACTCTTGGCTCTGGATTTATTTTGGTTAAAAGGAACAGGGTTTCCTCTTTATGGTCTGACTAAGATGGGGTGTGCCTCCAACAGGCAGCACTGGACCAGCAGATCTCTGGGAGGAGAGACCAGTGGAAGACTGAGATTACTGTATTTTCAAAATAAAATTGACTTTTAAAACCCAGTGAAGCATCTGGGACAAATCAACACTTGGAGCTGGTGGCTTCTGGGCCTCCTCAGTCAGCCTGTTTCGTAGTGCCGGGCACATTACTATGTTTATAGAAAGAGCTCTGACTCATAATAAAATGCCGAGAAGGTGGCCAGACTGAGCGAGTGCATCGACTGTCCCCTGTGCAGCACCAAAAGGACTGACTGGAGAGGGTGCCGAGCTCAAAAATGTTGATTTGTACTGGAGATGCACAGCAAAAGAGCTGGAGAAAGGCTGTTGGTGGGATAACTGGTCTATTCGTCTGTCAGTGCAGATCTTCAGTACATTTCCTTGTAGTTTTGCAATCTTGTTTTTAAATACTGCCGGGGAGCTCCCGCCGTTTCTGTTCCCTCACCCAACCAAGCTCGTAATTAAAGAATCCCATTTTTCCTGGCCTCTTGATCTTCCTAAAGCAGGAATTCTGAACCTCTCACAAAGTACTTCTTATTTTAGGGCCTTTTTGGGGAAATCCGCCTCTACCAGTAACATCAAATGCAGGTATCGGAAACTTAAGGGAGGAAGTCTGCTGATGGTCTCTTGATGCACTTCAGGCTGCCCCCGAGACCTGCTGCCATCCTTAGCATGCCTCCTGACATCTATTGGACACTCGGCTCTCCTTTTTCAACTGCTGACCAATTTCCTTCTTTAAGGCCGAATCCCCTTCCAGGCAGCTGTAGAGATTGAGATTTGCAGCTGTCTCTAATTGCAGTGGAAGTAAAAAGAAATCCCCAAGCTAGCTTTGAAACCAGGACCTTGATGGGAGGAGAGTGGCAGCTTTGTTTTCCCTCGCGGTGAAAGTTGGTGTCGTGAATTCAAAATGTGTACTGGAGCTAACTGCAAAAAAACCCACCCCAAGTTAGAGAATTAAATATCAGTAGGTCAAATAGCACTAAGGAAAATGTGTGTAATGCAGAAGGGTGAATGTGCTCGAATATATTTTAATTTTTCCCTGTATATAAATATATTACATATATGTAGTTCCCTAATAAGGCCTCCATTTGTTTCTGGCTCAGAGTGAGCCTTGCTGCACCATTTTAACCACTGAAACTCCAGCTGAGCTATGGGAAGAACCCGTGTCCCAGTCAGGAGCATGAGGGATACTGTGAGACAAATCTCTGTGCAGACCCCTTGGCAGCAGCAGGCAGATGTAGTCAGGGAGCGGTTTGCATCACCTCATTTTTCTGCCATGTTGTGGATTTTTTTTTTTCCTTTCTAGGTATAAAACAAAGGGCACATCTTTACAGGGAATGCACAAGGCAAATGTAAGCGTTTTACTCTTTGCATGTGCAAAGAGACATGAGCCTTTTCCTGCATGGAGCATCCCTTTGTGATGATCCCAACTAAAAGCTCCTGCAGTGGGTCAGATGGTACCAGATCCCTGTATGCCATGGTGGGAAGTTCTGACCCAGTTTCTCTACCAGTGGGAAACACCTCTCCATGCTCCAGTGCTTGGTGTGTCAGGGAGGATTCTTTCCCCACTGGCTCAGATAAATGAGCCTGTCACAACAACGCAACCACCCGGAATATTTGTTTTCATTTGTCACTTGGAATTCCCACTCCGCTTCTTTGCTGGCTCATGCCCATGTTTGGGAGCAGCAGCCAAGGTTTCCAGGAGGCTCTCCTTGCAAGTGTTGGTGCCTCTCCGAGCTGGCCAGGGTCACAGGGCAGCTCCAGCTCGACGATGGCTCGTAGTCCGGAATGCGTCTGATCTAGCAAAATGAGCTTGCTCCGTGAAGTCCTTGTTTCATACCAGGCCTCCAAGGGCCTTCCCACCAGAGGTTTTGCCTTCATGTGTCTTCCCTCATCAATATTTAAAACCTGTCATTTCTAGTGCAACTCAAATAAGATTCCATTCTGGCTTACAAGCAGCTACATATATCTTTACCTGCAGAGTTATATAAATGCAGCCCTAATTAATTAGCGCTCTTGCCTTGCATGAATAATAGATCTGGATAGTGTAAACACACACAGTAGTTTCAGGCTTGGAGAAACGTGGGGCGTGTGCATTTGCGGTGGGAGAGGGAGGGCAGAAAACGGAGAAAAGGAGGCAAAGGGAGATCTTTGAATCTCTCCTTGTTTATAATTTTCCTTTCTACATGGACTTCTCGCATTGCGGTTTTCAGCTGCCTCTCACTGAGCTCCAACCCTGCTCTAAACAGGGTCCCTCTCATCCTGGCGCTGCTCGGCACCGGCGTGAGCTGAGGTAGGGGGGAGATGGGTGCGTTGCTGGAGGCTTCACCCACCCCTGCGCCGTGCCAGGGTCCCCTCCAGATGTTTGCCAGCTGCCGAAGCGAGGCTGTACAGGGAAGGCAGCCGAGTGTGCCGGGAGGCTGTGCTGCTGCAGCCCCGCTCTGCTGCGACGGCCGTGCAGTGTTTGGCTGAAGGTGCTCGTAATGCGACTGTGACAAGTGACTTGCTTATAATGTGACCTGACAAAACCACTGTTGAGCTGGAGGGACGCTCTGCACTCCTGGCCTCGATAAACGTATATATTTCATCCCGCTCACAGCCTCTGCCCCGAGAGCCCGGCTGCGGCAGGGTGCAGAGGTCCTTTAAATAGCCCAGAGAGCATCAGGCCTGGCTTTGAAAGAAAACTGTGCCTGGGGGAGGGGCTCGGTTCCCAGCTCCTGGGGGTTAAATAGGCTTCTCGGTGTGGAAATGGACTGCTGGCTGGGCAGTCCCCTGGAAGGATGGTGGTGTGCTGCTCCCTCCCTGGGAAAAACGCTTTTGTCTCCATCCTTGGAAGGGTTTGGCTTTGTTCACCTGCTGGATTGGCAATAAAGGCCAATGGGGTGATTTTTAGTTAAGGCATAGCTGTGGCATTCAGGGCCTTGCCTCCCGCCAGCCAAACCCAGCCTACACAAGCATTATGTCCTTTATGCCGCAGCGGACTATTGTGACTAAAAAACCAACATTAAAACCCACCCCAAACCCAGAGCGCTACACAGGGTGACTGGAAGCTTGGGGTAACGTGTATTCAGCCCGTTAGCCAAAAGATCCGCGCTCCTGTGTGCGCGGGAGCGGTGACCATCACCCGCGACACTCATCTGAGGTGGTCAGGGAGCGCTGGCGAAGCCAGGCAATCCCACGTTACGACTGTTGCTGCCGCAGTACCACGTCCCGGTGGCGCATCCTCTGCGGTTTCTAGTACGGAGTGCGGAAAGCTGCACACAGCCTTACGCTGGCGCTGGGCTCGGCGAGGACAGGCGTACGCAGCGAGTAACACATTGCATCCCCGGCTGACGTGGGCAGCGCCAGCGACGGGCGCCTGGCGTGGGACACGCCGGAGGATGGAGCTGGCAGGTTATTTCGGGTTGGATGGGATTTTTCCTTCCCCGAGGCGGGCGGAACAGCACTGATAAATATGGCTATAGGTGGCACCAAAGCTGTGCTGCAGCTCGAATGTTGAGCTGGAGGAAATCGTCAGAATCCCTGTGCGGGGTGGCTGTGGATGAGGAGGTAGCAGCAAGACAGGCAATGGCTTTTCCGTGTGTTGAAATGTGGGGGTGTCTTTCAATGTTGGTTAAAATTTCCATCTGTCTATAGATATATCTATCTTCATAGGTATCTATCTATAAAGATGTCTATAGATACCTGTCTCTAGGGAGAGATACAGAGATATGTGATAGAATATAGAGGAGAACATAGAATAGATATGTAATATAATTATATTAGTTCTAATACTTATGTATCTAATAGACATCTAACAGATCTACTCTATTATAAATATATAAATAAATGGATCTATTGTATTAGATATCTGTTATAGAGAAAGATCTATAGAATACTATAATATCTATATATCTCTAGGGATGGATATCTAATAGGGATAGATACCTATATAATATCTCTATAGATATCTGTAATAGGGATTGATAGGTATTAGATTTATCTATTTATAGTGATATATAGATATTATATAGAACTTTCTCTGTAATAGATATCTATCTATCCGGTACAGTCTACAGATAGATCTATATTTCAAATCCATCTGTATGTACAGTGCAGGTTTACTGCAGAGCAGCAGTTTGAAGAGGATGCATCTTTGTCTCTGGGTAGCTCAGCCAGCTCCTTGGGCAGAGTCACCGTAGTCTGCTGCCAGCTCCAGCCCTCCACGTGACTGAGCGAGCGCACGGCGCTGCCAACCCCTCCAGTGCCTGCCTCGCCGCTGCAGTCAGCTCAGCTGCTGTCTATCAGCAACTTTGGGGGAGGGGGGAAGGGGAAAAAATAGGGAGAAAAAAGGACCCGGTTTATGCTCCGGCGGGTTGCCTCCCCGTTAGTCCCGCACGCGTGTTGCTGCACCCAGACACGATGGAGTTATGTGGTGCAGAGTCCCCGTAGCCAGCGCTGGCGTGTCAGTGCCTTCTGCCTACGTGCCAGCTGCAGTGCGGAGCAGCCTGCGGCCCCTCTGCTTCGTGGCAGTGTCACAGCAGTCCCCTGCGAGCCCCTGCTCCCCAGGACGGGAGAGCAGGGTGGTTCAGGTAGCTGGGGGGTTACGCTGGTTTAAAAGCATCGGCCGTGTGGGCTGTGGGTGGCACCTGGGTGCCCAGCGCACCCCACATGGCTCACAGCAGGCTGTAGGTCATCATCACCCCAAAATGCCCTGGGTTGCTGTTGGCAAAGATGCTACAGAGCCGAGCAAGCAGGGATGTGACCCAGGAGGCTGAGGGCAGGCATGGCCTGAGGATGGCAAGGGTGGATATTTTTTTTTTCCTTTTTTTACAAGGACAGGGAGTGACAGGACAAGGGGTAATGGGTTTAAATTGGAAGCAGGTAGATTTTGGATTGGGAGAAATTCTTCCTGGAGAGGGTGAGGAGGCACTGGGACAGGTTGCCCAGAGAAGCTGTGGATGCCCCATCCCTGGAAGTGTTCAAGGCCAGGCTGGATGAGGCTTTGAGCAACCTGGTCTAGTGGAAGGTGTCCCTGCCCATGGCAGGGGGGTTGGAACTCAATGATCTTTGAGGTCCCTTCCAACCCAAACGATTCTGTGATTCTGTGATTTTGCATCTTCTGTGTTAGCTTCTGGCCTCAGCAAACATAAGAGGGACATGTTCCCCTCTAGGCAGGCAGCAGCTCCCCTAGCACCCTCCCTCATCCTCCTGGGTGGGTTTGGGGTTGAGACTTCCCCATAAGTGATGGGCTCGTACAGCCTCTGCGGTGAGCCCCCACCCTGCGGCCAGGGTCTGATTAGCCCCCCGGGTTGGTCATACTGGTAAGTGGAGACCATGCACTGCCTGTTTGGCTCCACCTCTAAGTGGGAGAAGACACGGGGTTGCCTGCAAGGTCCGGTGCTGGACAGGAGGATGCCGTGGGTTCTCCATAGCCAGTGCTGCTGGCAGGACGTCTCCTTGGGTGGGCAGGAGCATCACTGGTCACTAGGCGAGGTGGCTCCCCAAAAACAGTGAGAAAAAGGACTTTGAGCTCCAGGGGAGAGGAGTGGGGGTGCTGACCTGTGCCTTCTGCCCCCACAGCAACAGAGGCGGGAGAAGGAGCTGCGGAAGCAGCAGGAGCGGGAGCAGCGGCGGCACTACGAGGAGCAGATGCGGCGGGAGGAGGAGCGGCGGCGTGCGGAGCACGAGCAGGTAACCCGGCCAGAGCAGGGCGATCGCCTTCAGCGCCTTTTCCTCTTCCTCTAATCAGAGATTTTTCTCGTAAACACTCATGTTTTTTGCCACTTGAGAGCAAATTGCTTAATTGTTAACGCAGCGTGTGTCGCTTTCCACTGCCGTCATTTATTTCCATGGGGATCTACTTGCTGGCCCGCAGGTGTGAGACACTTGATGCAGGCTTTTCCCACCCACTGGGTCCCAGGGTGGGATTCTGTGGTATTCCCAGTTAATGTTTGCTGTTTCCCAGGGGTTTTCACCCTAGACCCTTGGAGGTCCCTTGTAGAGTGATGGGATGCCCCAGGCAATTTGGGCAGGGATGGAGGGTGCCCAGGCAGATCGATCAGTGTCAGCTTTCGGGCGGGATGGATGCGGGTGCCCGCCTCATCCTCCTTTGTTTTGGAAAATACTGTCTCTTTTACGTTCTCTCTCTTTTTCCTTTGATCCTTGCTGCCCATGCCTCCAGGAGTACATCAGGCGACAGTTAGAGGAGGAGCAGAGACAGTTAGAGATCCTGCAGCAGCAGTTGTTGCAGGAGCAAGCGCTACTTCTGGTAAATAGGAGGCCCCGGCCACGCTTCCTGCTTTCTGCTCGTGTCGTGTCCGCATGTGCCCACGTGCACCCGAGCCCCCCGAGTGCCTCCTGCCGTGCCAAGTCGTGGGGACAGCGTGGCCGCGAGCATGCCCCGATTCCCCCGCCGCCGCTTTGGGTTGGGTCCCCTCGCGATGCACGCCTCTCCCGTTGTGTCCCTTCTGTGGCATCGGCGTGCTTGTGCCTTGGTGAGAGGAGCAGCCCTCCCTGCTGCCGCACCGTTCCGAAGGCTCTTCGCAGCATGTTGGAGTGTGGTGGAGCTGTCGCCTGCCTGCGCCCGGCAAACCCACCCTGCCACGCGGGTTTCTATATTCCGAGTGAAGGCCTTGCGTTTAAGTTCCTTGCAGGAACACTGTATTCCCTCTTGTGCTGTTTGCATTCTAGATATCCTGGGTTTTAATTTAATTTATTTTTGAAATACCCTTTTTTAATGCTGGTAGCTGTTTTTCTCACTGCGTTTTCTTTTAATCCACAGGGATTATTCTTTTTCTCTCTTGCTGTTAATTTTATTTAGGGAAAAGAAAACCTTTACACAAGCCCTTGCCTTTTAAAAAGTCCCTTTCAAAATGGTTTAGTCACTAAACCTTGTAGAGCTATAAGGATTCAGAAGGATCACACAGTTGGCTCTGCTGTGTGGCCCGTCCCATGAACAGTAAATTGGTCCTACAGAGAACTTGGCTTCAGCTGGGTTTTGTCTGACCCGCTGGCATTTGGCACCTCATCGGATTGAGGCTTTGTTCTTCCCATCCAGTAAAATCCAGGCAAAATCACTTGTAAACCTGTAAGGGGATGTCTGAGCCCTTGAGGGGGGCGGTTGTCT